CCCCGGGGGGGGGGGGGGGTGTCTCCAGTTGCAGAGGCACAGGGTTCTCCGAACCCAGTGACAGGCCCAGCCTGGGTCTGCAGCCCACCCTCTGGGTCCACATAAACTCCATTCCTGGCAGGGAGGCAGCTGTGGGAGAGCTGGGGGGATGCCTGCTCTCATCCATGGCTGAAAACAATTTGATTGCAGGCAGATTCCATCCCCAGAATTTGTTTCCAGGTTTTTCCTCTGGTAGGAAATCGGGTCTAGTGGTTCAGTTTGCTGAGGATGATTTTGCCTTAAGCCAAAGTCTTTGGATTTGGACACATTTCACTGTTCTTTAGATTTTAGGTGTGAAATTTCATCAGCTAACTCTGTACAGCCTAGAAGAAAGTGTTAAAACAACAATCTGAAATCTTGCAAAATGTAGTATCAGATTATTCTGGGCTATGTGAAACAGTGAGGGTAAGGGTCGGGAGTGGGACCTAGAAGAACCCAAAATGTTTATTAGAAGTTCCCTAAAAAAAGGTGTAAGTGAGAAGTGTTCTTGGCCTTGGGTAGTTGCCTGTGACTCCACTTATAACACAGAAGCCCCAGGGCTTTGTCTAGAGTTGCACCTCCCTACTGCTTGAGCTTTCAAATAATGCATCCTCTTTGACTGGAACTTGGCTCACAAGTGCAGAATGACAGAATGGATTACAAGGCTGCTTCACAAGGGAGATGACAGGAGAAGCATGGGAGGGAGAAGGGGAGGCTTGCTGAGGCATGGAGTCAGGGACATTGCCAGAGAACTGGAAAATGTCCTGATTCAGCAACTAGGTACTTCAAATATTGCCAGTTACCACTTCCTAGTCAGGGCAAAGCTTGAAATAAACATGTGCCCTACTGTGTGCCACACAGGCCACGCAAGGTGATGATGAGACCTCACTGGGGCATTCCATGTGTGGCATCCCTCAGGTATAAAGATCTCAAATAAATAGCTAAGAAGATAGCTGTTGTTTGGTTCTGATCCAACACCCCTATTGTTCTTAAATAAGATCTCCTCTATTATTTTTAGGATTTTGTGAATTCAGACCTTGTTTTAGCCATATCATAAAATCCAAAATTATGGATGTGCATGTGTGTGTGTGTGTGTGTGTGTGTGTGTGTGTATGCGTGTAGTTGTCCTGCTTTTATGAGGTATATGTGTTGAGAGGAAAGGATTCAGTAGTTAATTAGACAAGTATCAGATAAACTAACCAGGCTAGAAGGGACTGGCTGTTATGAAGTCTACTCTTTTTGTTCTGTGAACTTTCTGTTATCCTTTGCACTATTCAACAAGATCATATGCCAAAAATATGAAATTCCTTCACTGCTTTTATTCATTCATTGTTGATGGCACCAAAAAAGTGCCACTGGGCCATTTTTTCTGGTTAATCATGAATATATCAGGTGTTTGATTGTGTGGGACTACACCTTTTTAAGAGTCTTTCATTTTTAAATGAAAGAAGATTTTCTGTTGCTCAGAGGTACTCAGTTTGCTTCACAGTGATCCATACAGCTATAATAATTAAAGTCTAAAAGGGCTCACACAGAAAGGGGGAAGTCTTGCCCTTCACTATTAATTTTTCAATTTCAGCAGGGGCTGCCTCAATTTTGAAATTGCAATCTCTCTCTTCCCAGAATGCAACTGAGGTGAGATTTGGGCATTCAGGTTTCAAGCACACACATGCGCACACACATACGCTTACATATTGAGGGGGAGCTGGACTTTCGGTGGTGTTCCCTGATCTCCAATTATTGCACTTGTCCTGGGACCAGCCACTGTAGCTGTTCCAATCAAAGAGGAATCCTGAAAATACACAAAGAAGAACATATAAGGATTTAAGATGAAGCCCATCATTTCCTAAATTGCCATGGGGTGAAGGCATAGAAGAATAAATCACATATTTTATTAATTCCTAGATTTTTCTAACTTCATGATAGTGCATTAAAAACGCATATTCTAGCCTTACAATTTCAAAAAATACATTTCTGACACAAAGGATTAGCAGGATTTCCAAGTACCTGTCAGAGAAATTTTAGTTGTATGGTGTATGCACATCTTAAAAGTTTTACAATGTAAAACTACTTAACTGCTTTGTAAAGTCAGCTCAGCATGTGCATCTCTGCAGTGGTAATGGTGTCTGATAAAAGTAACCTTTTCCCCTCAAAAACTTGTTTTTAAATTGGTACTCTTTTGGTTAATGGTTATGGATCTCTGGAAAAGAAGATACTATTCAATTGCCAAAATACAGTCTCATTTCTATACAGTCTTTTTATCATCAGGAATATTCCTATCCTTCAAAAAAAAGGTGACTGCCCAACCCAAAGCTTCCTCTGAATGGAGAAAGTAGTTTGCTCCACTTTTACCCCAGAAAATAAATCTCCACTCTCATATAGACAGCTGGACAGATCTTCTCCAGCTATTAATGTGAAAGGCAATTCTAAATGTAATAATTCATTTCTCAAAGCCTAATGCTTATCCGAATTATGCAGGGCAATCTCTTTTTGAGTTGTCTCACCAAAGTCCTCATTCATCTATGTCAAAAATGAATCCTGACTGGAAACGTCTCCTGAACTAATTCCAAGGCCTGTAGCAACAGATCTTCATTGCAGACAGGGCAGAGCTGGGCTGATGGGACTTGTAGTGGTTTACTTGATTAAAAAGTTTATTTAGTAAGCCTAACCATATGTTGTACGCACGTCCATATGCAGAATGGCTCTACAAAATGGGAACCAATACCCACAAACTGCAAGGTCAGGCAGAGTGTGTTATACAGAGAAAAGATTCTGAGAAGTTCCCAGGCCTCCACTACAGCTCTTCTGTTTCAAACTCTATCTAACAAACAGTAAATATTGGTTTTTGGAAGACAAACACAGGGACAATTTTTGCACTTAAAAATGACGCTGAATTAAACCAAGACATAGTTAAACCAAGACACACATTTCTACTTAATTACTGGATTTCAAGGTTACCTCATTCCAAAGAAACCACATAATTATTAGTGTTCTGTCTTGACAGTGCATTGCTGATCTATATTGCTTTGCTGTGTATGAACACAGTATCATCAGGAAATCGTGCAGCAAAACATGGAAACACTGCACTGTGATTCCATAGCTTTTGGCAAAAAGCAGCAAGATGTCTCATCTCTCACCAACATCTACACTTAATCATGAAATTGTATTGACAAGTACATCTCCTTTTTCTCATTATTTCATCTAACTATCTGGCTGCTTGCTCAAACAAAGAAGGATCCAGGCAGCTCTTGGTCCTATGTGTAAAAACCATTCTTTCCAGCGCTGTGACTGAGACTTTATTAGCACTGCCTGTCACGTCAGTGAGCTAGTATCAACTTACAGAAAAAACACACCACCCCACTAAGAAATTTAGAGATAGCTGGAGAATGATCCCTCATTTGTTATGCTGAGCTGGTTAATTGGGTTAGGGATTGCAGAACATGTTGGGCTGAGACACCTGGCAGCTGCCTCTTCCAAGAGGTAAGTGAGAAAGTAAGAAGTTCACACTTCATATTGTTCTACCACTGTATATGCCTGCTCTGGACTAGAGAAACTGTCTCTTAAGAAAACAGAAAATGCATCAGTCCCCACCCTTCCTTGCTAGAGAAAAAAAAAATTAGATTTTACCCCATGAAAAAAACAGATCTGAATGAACAGCCTCAGGGTGCAACTGTAAAGGCAGAGAAGATCACAGAAGGAAAGGATATAATAGGACAGAATGGAATACAGCAGAATAGAATATTTATATTGGAAGTGACCTGCAACAACTGTCTAACTGCCTGACCACTTCAGGATTGACCAGTTAAGGACATTGTCCAAATGCCTCTTAAACACTGACAGGTTTGGGGCATCAGCCTTTTTTCTAGGAAGCCTGTTCCAGAGTTTGACCACCCTCTCAGTAAAGAAATGCTTCCTACTGTCCAGTCTGACTGTCCTGTGGGGCATTCCCACAGGACCACTCCCATGCATCCTGTCAGTGAACACCACAGAGAAGAGCTGAGCACTTCCCTCTCCATTTCCCCTCCTCAGGAAGCTGTAGAAAATGATGAGGTCACCCCTCAGTCTCCTTCTCTCCAGACTAGACGAGCACAGTGTCCTCAGTTGCTCCTCTTAGGCTGTTCCTTGCAGTTCTTTCACAAGATTTGTTGTCCCCCCTTGGATGCATTCAAGAACCTTTATATCTTCCTTCCACAGTAGGGCCCAGAACTGCACAGTGCTCCAGGTGAGGCCTGTGAGGCCTGAGACCATTCAACACTGAATACGGCAGGATAATTTTGAGTGGCTGGTGATGCTCTCTTTGATGCCCCCCAGGACAGGCTTTGCCCTCTGGGCTGCCAGCGCTCTCTGCTGACTCACACTGAGCCTGCTGCCCACCAGCACCCCCAGATCCCCTTCTGCAGGGCTGCTCTTGAGCCACTCCTCTCTAGTCCATACTTGTGGCTGGCATTACCCCATCCTAGGTGGATCAGAATCCAGCATTTTGAATGGTTAAATAATTTCCTCCCATTAATCATCGCCTAATGCTCCAATGTGTATCTACATCCCTCTGCAAGGCATCTTGTTCCTCAAGAAAGTCAAAAGCACCTCCCACTTTGGTATCATCAGCAAACTTGCTAGTGGTGCATTCAACTCCTGCATCCTGATCACTGATATATACATATACATATACATATACATATACATATACATATACATATACATATACATATATATCTCACCTATATATGTCAACAGCCAGCTGTAGCCCCATTCACTGCAATCCTGGCCAAAGGCCAGCTCTCACCCAGTGCATCACAAATCCACTCTTTCCATGGATGAGCAACTTTTCCAGAAAGATGCTGAGGTACAGTATCAAAACCCTACTAAAATCCAGAAAAAACTGTGTCTATTGCTTTCCCTTCATCCACTAGGCAGGTGACCCTATTACAGAAGACTATCAAACCAGTTAAATGGAACTTCCCTTTTGTGTACCCATATTGACTGTTCCTTATGACTGTATCATACTTTAAATGCCTTTCAGTAGGATTCAGTATAATTATCTCCATAATTTTTCCAGAAACTGAGTCTAACTTAACAGGTCTTCTCTCATGCCTTTTTTTTCAGACTAGAGTAACACTGTCAAGCTTCCAGTCAGCCGGATCTCCCTAAACCTCCAAGATCTTTGACAGATGACTGAGAGGGGTCCTGCCGTAATATTCACTGGCTCTTTCAGAACACTTGGATGAAGCCATGAGGCCCCATGGACATTCAACTGATACAGCTGGTCCCTTACAATTCCAGTGCCCACAAATAGAAAGTCACTGTTCCCATATTTGTGGTCCTCCAACTCAGGGGACTGGGAAGCTGAAGGTCTACTGAAGACTGAGACAAAAAGTGCATAGAATGCATCTGCTTTTTCTTCCTTCCTGTTAGTCAGATTGACCAAGTATTATCAAATATTCACCACCTTCACCAAGTATCAGCCCAATATTTTCTTTAGACCTCATCTGAAGAAAGTGTTGTTTGAAACAACACTGGCCAGTTTCAACTCTAATTGAACTTCAGCCTTTCATGTCTTCTGCCTGTGTAAATGAACCACAGCTCTGTACTCAGGTTCCTGAGAAGCCTAACCTTGTTTCCAGAGGCCATACAGTTTATTTTCCTCCTGACCTACACAAGGAGTTCCTTGTTCAGACAAGTTGGTCTTCTGCTCTGCTTGCTTGACTCACAGCATGGTGAAGTTGGCTGCTCATGTGCTTTTCAATGGTGAATCTTAAAGACTGACCATCACATGTGGACTCCAAAGTCCTTTAAAAGCAGATTCCCAGGGCACTCTGCTAAGTAATGCCCTGAATAGTATTAAGTTTGCTCTGACAAAGTCCAGAGAAGCAACTCTGCCATTCTTTTTTGTCTTTACAGTAAAAATTCTAAACTCAGCCATTTCATGAACACTGTAGCCAAGACGGCACATCCCTCATAAGTCATTCTCTATTCCCAAATAGCAAGTCCAGGAGGGCATCTTTCCTGGTTGGCTCACTAAGTATGAATGACAAGCAGTTTTCTCCTCTAAGCCTCAAGAATTTCCAAGACTTGTCACAGAAGTATGATATTTCCAGTTGATGTCTGGGAAGTTGAAATCTCCCATAAGGACAAGGGCTACTGATCCAGAGAGTTCTCCTAATTGCCTATAGAATACATCTCGACTGGGCAATTAGTAGTAAACACCCTCTACAACATCTGCTTTGTTTTCCTTCCCCCCAGTCTTCACTCAGAGGCTCTTCACCACATCATCACTAACTCTAAGGGCTGTGCAATCAAACCTCTCCCTTACTTACAGTGCCACATGTCCCTCTCACTTGTCCTGCCTACTCCTGAAGCCTGTAGCCCTCGGTGCCAGCACTCCAATCACAGGACTCATTCCACTAGTAGTGATGATATCCAGCTCTGGGAGCTGACCAATGCTTCATCTTTCACATGCTAACCCTTCTTTAGCTCCTATGGTCCTCCCTCTGCACACTGCAGCAAAGTCAGTTTGCAGAGGTACAGCCAGCCAGCCAGCCTGGACTGGCCACTGCAGGCGCCCTGGGCTGAGCCTGACTGACTCTGCAGAGTGATGAGTTCAGGCCAAGAGAACAGAGCAGCATTCAAAGCATCATCTATTTGCCTGTTTGCACTGACAGTGGGGCCTTCTGTGTCTTCTATATTACTGAGAGCATGATTTCAAGTCCTTTCTATTATATTCTTCCTAACATATAGTCCAAGGGATTAAGAAATCATGTAACTGCCATTCACTGTTGATGAATGACAATTTTG